GGGAAAATATTGGGTTGGCGTGTGAGAGCTGAAGGAGGTGGTCGGGGGTAAGGGCTCTGGATTAGTTGGTTTGTCATATGAAAGGCATGCTTGTGGTGGAAGTGGGGGGTGTCGTTTGTTATCTCTAGGAAATAGCTAATTGCAGGAGAGGCAGTCTTTCCAGGATTAGCAAGGATCCCAAATTGTAAAACTTCATAAAATATGGAAAATTTAAAAAACATGACTCAAACACTGCCTCAATTCTCAGAAATCTCTGCCACCCCATCACAGTCATTGACTCCCACACTCATATACTTGACCTTGCCATCACCAATATGGATACCACCTCTGAAGCATCCATTTCCAGCCTCCTACCTTCTAATCACCACCTCCTTACACACATTAAAAAAAATTTATTATGGAAATTTCCAAACATACATAAAGTAGAGCACAGTATAATGAGCTCTCCCCTAAACTCGTCAGGAAGCTTCAACAACTGCCATCATTTTGTTGATGTTGTTTCCTCTCAGACCCTGGTTTTTGTGGTGGTACTTGTGGTTTCGTTTGGGCTATAATATTTTGAACTAAAGAGCGGACCTCATGTCGTTGCACCTATCAACACTTCGTTATGCATCTCTAACCGATAAGGACTTTTTGGCTTATGTAAATTTCGTGTTTCATCCCACCTAACAAAATAAGCACTTCACTAACATCACCTGACACTCAATCCATATTCAGATCTCCCCGTGGTCTCAAAGGTGTCTTTTTTTACAGTCAACTATCCGTTCAGGATCCCAACAAAAGCCACGTGTTGCATTTAACTGCTAAGTCTTTCACATCTCTTATTTTATAACATTCTCCTTTCCATTGTTTTTTTTTATGCCCTTGTCTTGTTTAGAGAAAGCACATCATTTGCCCTGCGGACTATCCCACATTCCAAATCCAGCTGAGGTCACATATGAAAGCAGGTTATAGCACTACTTACAGATACACGAACGAGCAGCCAGACGTGAAGTCTCAGAACCCAAACAGATCTCAGTAATACAAGCTAATAGCTCTATGGTCTAAACTGTGCTGGGCATTATATATGCATGAACTCATTGAGTCCCCACAATAAGCCTAGTAGGTAGATGGTACTCTCATCTCATTTTTTTTAAAAAAGATTTTATTTATTTATTTGTCAGACAGAGAGAGAGAGAGCACAAGCAGGAGGAGCAGCAGGCAGAGGGAGAAGCAGACACACACACACACATCCGCACTGAGCAGGGAGCCCCAATGCGGGACTCAACCCCTGGACTCTGGGATCATGACCTGAGCTAAAGGCAGTCACTTAACCGACTAAGCCACCCAGGCACCCCACTCTCATCTCAATTTATTAATGAGAACACTGGGCCCCGAGAGGTTCACTCGCCTAAAGTCACACAGCTAGTAGGGGATGGAGCCAAGATCTAACCTAAGCAGTCCGGCTCCAGCATCCGTGCTGTTCACCATTGCTAGATCTACATCTGGTCACAGGCCCCTTTATGACAGACTTCCAGGGCCAAGATTAAAGGGAGACCCCCGAAATGCCATCCAGGGGCGTGTGATTTGAAGTGCCTCCCTTCACTGTCTTTAGTTATATAGATAAGGTTATCCAGAAAACTTTCACAATTAGGATGTAACAGGATACCCTAAGACTGATATTATCCTCACTTTAGAGATGAGGAAACTGAGATCCGGAGGGGTGACATCCTTTACAAAAGAGCAAGAGCCCCCTGCCCACTAAGAAAGTTCTCTTTCCCTAGGCTGCAGTCTCCCTGAGCACTGCTTCTGAGCTGAAGCACCAGCCCAAGTCTAGGGGCAGCCACACCAGATCTCGGTTCTTCTCTAGTGTCAGCACAGTTATCTCTGCCGGACCAACCTATGGCTCCAGAAGGAGCTGCTGAGCCAAGCCTGAGACAGGAAACACCAGCCCCAAGGTCTCTCCACCTTGAATCAGGTATGGTCCCGACTGACCATTACAGCTGGTTCTTTTGTGGTCAAGAGCCCTGTGGAAAGGGCTGAGCTGGTAGCTTGTCTGGAGACCCAAGGGTCCACAGCCTGCTAGACGTTGGAAGCCCCATCCCAATGCCCACAAGCTTCTGGATCTCCTTACATCTCATCTTCCCTCACAGTCTCACCTTTCCACCTAGGAGATCAGTTCTTTTCCCCTCTTACTCCAGGGCTTGGATGGAAGAGAGAGTCAGACGCAGAGGCCAGGCCCACTTGGGAGAATTAGCAAGACCCACTAGGCTGAATTTGTATGGAGGCAGGAGATGGAACGGGAAATGTACAGGGACAGGAGTCCTGTGCCATTCAGGTGCATGCTAGGTGCATATGAGCTGCTCAAACTAAATGCCTCCCTTCTTGATCTGTAAAATGGGAATAATGTACTTCATGTGTCCACAGACTTTTTCTGTAAGGGCCAGATAGTCACAATTTTAGGTTTTCTGTATCAGCCTGTCTCTGTTCTGGCTGCTCAACTCTGGCCTTCTGGGATAAAGCAGCCACAGGAAACTATAAAGAAATGGGCATGACTGTCTTCCAATAAAACTTTATTTACAAAAACAGGTGGCGCACTGGATTTGGTCCACCCGCAAGGTGATGATCCCTGACCTAACTGGAGCGCTGCTAGGAAGATGAGGTGACAGGCGCGTCGCTGCTCTGTGGACTGTACAGTGTGGATCATTTGCGAGGAACTGGAGGGGCAGCTGCTATGGTAATAAAATAAAGCTCAGAGCAGCTCACTGGCGGTGAACGCTTCCAGACAGAAAAGGCCACCGGGGGCGCCTGGGTGGCTCAGTGGGCTGCCTTCCGCTCGGGTCGTGGTCCCAGCGTCCTCGGATCCAGCCCCGCATCAGGCTCTCTACTCAGCAGGGAGACTGCTTCCTACTCTCTCTCTGCCTCTCTCTCTGCCTACCTCTCTACCTACTTGTGATCGCTCTGTCAAATAAACAAATAAATAATCTTTTAAAAAAATTAAAAATAAAATAAAAAATAAAAAGGCCACGACCCGGTAGTCACGTGGGCAGGGTCTCCGATGGGGGCTTAGCCGTAAGCCACCTCCTGACCCATGCAGATACGCTGTTTCCTAAAGGCGGTCTCTCGAGTGCAGACAAGGAAGCCCTAGCCCGCTTTGGTCATCCTGAAGCGAGAGTGTGGCAGTTCGCAGCCCCACCGCAATGTGCTCCGACACCAGCCACCAGCGGGCTAGTTCCGTGCCACGGTCCCTCCCCACCCCGGGGCCCGCCCCCCGGAGGCCCGCCCCCCGGAGGCCCGCCCCCGGAGGCCCGCCCCCCGGAGGCCCGCCCCCCGGAGGCCCGCCCCCACCGGAGCCTGCTCTGCGCCCGGCCCGCCCCCTGTAGTCCCCGCCCCCAGAGCGCGGGCCGGCGTGCTCTGCGCCAGACCCGCCCCGCGCACGTGTCGCGGCTGCCCGGGCTGCGGCGGAACAGGTGAGCCCCGGTTGCGCGCGCGCGCGGATTCGCGGAAGTGGGACGGGCACCTTCCCCAGGGTCTTCTCCAGCTTCGTGGTCGAGCTGCGGGGCTCACAGAGCTGCTGGACGCCCAGTGGGGAGCTCTCTGCGAAGTTTCCGCAGCCCCTCCTCACCCAGCCTGGAGGAGGGCCTTGGCGCTGGTGGGCCTTGGGGCGTCGGGACTTTGTCCAGGACCCTTGCTTTCCTAGCTTTAGTCCCTTGGTTGGGAATATAGGCCCAAGTGATGTGCCCCTTTAGGAATTTTCGTGAAAACAGGCCAGGCGGTACCCCCACGTTCTTGTTTGCAGCAACCTACGTGCTAATTAAACCGCTATCACAAGCAGGCAGGAAGACAGTAAGCTTCAACCAAAGTAAAATAATTATGAATTTTTGCTGAAATATTTATGGATGAAATAAGAGGACACCCGGGATGTGTTTCAAAATAAGCCAGTTGGAGGAGGAATGTGGGTGGGAGAAGAGAGGAAACAAGATTGGCCATGAGTTGGTTGAAGCTGGCTAATGTGCTGTTTTGTCTACTTATGTAGATATTTGTAATTTAGAATTAAAATTTTTTCTGAAACGAAAAGCTCTCTGATAGCCTGTGTGCCTGTGTTAGCTAGGGTTGTCAGGACAAGCACTGGATGGCAGGATTTTATTTTCTTGGGATCTGGACGCTCAAAGTCCAAGATTACAGTGTCAGCATGACATTTCTTCTGAGACCACACTCACTGGCTTGTAGATGGTCACCTCTGGCTTGTGCCCACTCATGGTCTTTCTTCTCTAAGTGTCTGTGTCCTAATCTGTTCTTCTAAGGACACCAGTCAGATTAGATTAGGACCTACCCTAATGACCTCACTTTAAAGACCCCATTTCTAAATAGTTACATCTGAGAGACTGGGGCTTAAGACTTCAGCATATGACTTTGGAGGGGACCCACCACTCAGCTTGTAACTTCGCCACTTTGCTAGTTTGGGGTTTCGTCCAGTTAATCTATCTCTGCCTCAGTTTCCAGTGTTCAAAAATAGGAGCAATATAATTAGGTCATGGAGTTGTCAGGATTCAGTTGTTGGACAGTATATATAAAGTTCTCAGAATTGTGTCTAGCATACAGGAGGTAAGAAGTTGAATTTAGGTTTCACCTATAAATTAGGGATCGTAGGACTTCAGAGTGGGATGAAGAGTGGAGTGAGGCAATTGGTACTTCATGCCGTGCCTAGCCATGGGAATAAAAGTAACAATCACAGCATTATCACAGGGGGTGTCTGCTGCTGTGCCAGACCAGTTGTTTTATGTGCGTTCATTCATACCCTCATCACAACCACCCCAAGGATGCCATTGTCGGGTGCCTGTTTGGCCGACGGGGAAGGTGGTACACAGAGATGGAGGTTGGATTTGAACTCTGGCTTGAGAGCTCATGCTCTTAACCACCTCCCTGTATTGCCTCTGTTCAAAAGGATGTGGCCCTGGGCTATGTTCGGTCGGCCAGCTCACCCAGGGAACCGTTGGCTGATTCTCTTTTTCTTGGCCCAGGTGTACAACGGTGCCAGCACTCATGGCCGGTCCCCTGTGGCGGGCTGCAGCATTTGTGCAGAGACACAGGACAGGCCTGTTGGTGGGTTCCTGTGCAGGGCTGTTCGGGGCCCAGATCTCATACCACCTCTTCCCAGATCCCGTGATCCAATGGCTGTACCGGTACTGGCCTCAGGGCCAACCAGCCCCACTCTCCCCAGAGCTGGGGGGGCTCTTCCAAGAGGTGCTCCAGGACATCGGGGTCCCCTCAGGCCACAGCTACGAGGCTTTCACCACGTTCACCTTCCAGCCCGTGAGTGCTGGCTTCCCGCGACTTCCTGCGGGGGCTGTAGTGGGCATCCCAGCCACCTTCCTGGGGAGAACATTGACCAACACCGATCACCCAGTGGTGGTGCACGGGCAAAGAGTGAACTGGCAAAGCCCAGCAGGCGCCCGGCTGAGAGATGCCTTGACCCTGTCCCATGAGGCCCAGAAGTTTGCCTTGGCCAAGGAAGTGGTATACCTGGAGAGCGGTGCAGCCGCCCTCCAGGCCCTGCCGGCCCCAGCTTGCCTAGCAGGAACCTGGGCCCTGGGCGTGGGTGCCAAGCATGCACTGGGGCTCTACGGAGGCCCCATGAATTTACGGGCAGCCTTCAACCTGGTGGCAGCAGTGGTGGGCTTCGTAGCCTATGCCTTCTCCACGGACTCTCTCACTCATGCCCTAGAAGGCTGGCTGGACCGTCGCACAGCCGCACTGTCTGCAGCCTATGCCCAAGGGGGCGTGGAGTTCTATGAGAAGATTTTGTCGGGCAACGTAGCCCTGCGTAGTGTCTTGGGCAGTCACGGAGAGAAGCTGTATACGCCCAGCGGGAACATCGTTCCCAGACACTGGTTCCGCATCAAACATTTACCCTACACGACCCGCCGGGACTCCGTGCTGCAGATGTGGAGGGCAGCACTCACCGCGGGCCGTTCCTGAGGGTCTCATCACAAGGATGGATGGGGCTCATGCAGACACCACCCTGCTGTTGACTCTGGGGGCTCTTGGTGCCTCCGGCCCCAGAACCCAGTGTCAAATGAATCAGAGACTCTGAAACGAAACAGCCTAGATTCTACCCCTGTCCATGATTCCAGTGACCTTGGGCGAGTCCCTTTTGAATCTGAGCCTCAGTTTACTCCGCTGTAAAATGGGGGTATTTGTAAATCACCTGGCAGGATTTGGGGGTTGTGTGAGCTATGAACAAAAGGGCCTGGCCAAGAGGACACGCCATCAATGATGGGATGTCCCTCCTTGGTCTTAGAATTCCAGCAGGCTGTGGGAGTCAGACCACATCTCCCCACCAGCAGTGCTTATAGGACGGGAACACTTTCCTATAGTGAAGAACCACCATGTAGTTCACCTTGTGGTCTCATCTCACTTCCTTCCACCATTTGAGAAAGTAAAGCTTTTAGAGGCCTGGGTGAGAAGCTAGCATGGCCCTGAGAGGCTAGGAGAGGGAGCTTGAGGTGGGATTTCAGAGCAGGTTTACCCAGGCCTGATGGCATGCTCAGACAGAGCCCCTTTGCCTGAAAGGGAGAGAAAGCGTTGCTGGAACCTGGCAAGACCTGTGGCATGGGAGCCTTGGCAGGAACTCTGGCCAGAGGAAGAAGAAGGAACGAGCCATTGCAAAACCAAGGCCTTGCCGGGAGGGCACCTGTTGATGTAGTCCAGAGCGTGGTCAGTACCTGGAGAGGAGAGGAACTGGGGGGTTCCGAGGGGGATGGCAGGGAGGAAGCAGGGTGGAGGTGGGTGAGATAGACTGGGCCTAGTGTCACATCCGTGGCCCAGGGGAATGCTGCACCCTTACTCTGTTCGTTTCCTTCAAGGCTTCCTGGTGGCAGGTAGATCAGACCCCACTTTTAATCCCTGGACAGGAGACCCCTTCCCAGGGAAGGTGAGAGCAGCTGTGGCCAGAAAGCCAGACTCACTTGGCCATTCATGTATTTTTATTGCCAATTGTGTTTTCCCCGGAAGAATGGAAGCATTCAGGCCTGGCGCCGGTGTAATTCAGGGTGAAGAGACGGGGCCACTCCTAGGGAAGGGCGCAGGGCAGTACCAGGAAGCCCACTTGGTCCTGGCATGCACTTCCTGCCGGAGACCGAGCAGGCAGTGAGCAGGGTGCGGTAGCAGGTCTTCCTGCTGGGTCAGTCACAGTGGCTGGAGGTCAGTGCTCTGGCTCCATTCGACCAGCATGTGGGTCCCAGTGTTCGGCTTAGGCAGACACCCCATCCCTCAGATCCCGGGATGGCAGTGCGCACATGCTTGATGAATGCAGAGGTGGACAGATGAGTTACTGAGCGGGTGAGCAAGTCTCCACTCTGGGAAATGCCACTGCAGGAGACCCCTTGGCTTGTCATCCAAGTGCTGCTGCCACGTGTGACTGATCTTGGCCAGAGAAGTGTAGCTTGGGGTCTGGATTTGAGGAGCTCCAACTGCTCCCCAATCCCCATGCCAGCGACTTTCAGTACTGCAGGAGCAGGGTGATGGCTTCAGGCATTCCCCAGGTGGTTCCTCCAGTCCATTGTCCCCACCTCTCCCAGTTCTTGGACATGCAGTTCTGACTGGGTTCCATCCTGCGGACAACCCTCTGCGGGTGTCCCGTAGCTTTCTGGCTAGAGCTGCCTCTCTGAGCCCTGGCCTAATGGCCTCTCTAGCCATCTGGTGTCCTGTCTCCCACCCCCACCCCCCCAGCTATATGGAGCCTAACCTCCATAACCTCCATGGTTGCTTCACTGCTGGCCCCCTCCTTCCTCAGTGCCTGGGTCTGGGCTGCTCTCTCCCACCCTGCCCTTGTCTCAGGTCCTCAGAGCTCCTCCAGCAGGAGTACTCAACCACCTGACTCCGAACCTTCCCCATCCATGCCTGTCCCATGCCCTGTACCTCTCCGCCCCCCTCAGGGCTTACTATAAAGAAGTTACCCGGCAGATAGTACTCAGCCTCCCCTCCACTGAAACATACTGTCTGCAAGGGCAGGGTGATGGGTCTTGTTACTGCTCTGGACTGAGGCCTTCCATAACATTGTTGAAGACTTGAGCAAGGCTCTGAAGCTACAGCAGCTGGGCCTGGCACCCTAGAGGCTGAGCCGTGACCGTCCAGCTGGCTGTGCAGGTGGCCAAGGCCATCTGAATCCTATGTGACCCTGTCCTGGCTTCCCAACTTGGGACTCTCCAAGGGCAGGGCCTGGCCCGGATCTGAGGTTGTTGTTCCAGTGGGGGGACACAGGACACTTCTGGTCACTTCCAGTAGAGCACAGATTCCCACTCGGGCCACCAGCACCCCCCCCCAAGGAGCTTTAGGAAAAAGGGGAACCTCCAAGTTGTATAATATACTGTGCCCCCACACATGGATTTGCGGTTTGTTCCCAGAAAGCTTCAAAAACATGCTCCATGGCTTCATAGATGGGCTAGGTGGCAGGGGGTTAGCTGGTACAGGTTGCATCTTTCCTCAGATGCCTCAGTCGTCAGCATTGCCCTGTGTCCCAGGCGAACGTTGTTCTCCTGAGTACCCCCCCGCCCCCGCCAGCTACATGTTCACAGTTCTCTGAGTGTGAATATGCAAAGATACCCAACACCCCAGAACAGTCCTCCATAGGATTCCAAACTAGGCTAAATGACAGGGCTGCCGCAACAGAAATGCTCTCCGTGCTCCTCCCTGTGCCTACATATGCACGCACACATGCAGACACAGCCGGAACACAGGAAAGGGGGTCCCAGAGTCTTATGCCATCACTGGCTCTGCCCATTCCTGACCCCAGCAGGCCCCACTGCCTTGTCCAGGAGCCACAGCGCTGTGCCCCGTGCAGCTGTGCCTATAGCCGGCGCATACACGTGGGACCCACATCTCCAGGCAGGCTTATACCCCAGGCTGGGCTGGAACAGATGTTTGGGTCCTTACCCAGCAAGACCTCCCGCCCACTACAGCCCTACAGTAATGCCCACGGGATCTCTGTTGTGCACCAGACACTGCAAGCTTCCTAGAATCTTTTTTCAGTTAGCCCCAGATTGGAAGAGGTAGTTGGTAATGTCATTTCAATTTTACAGGCAAGGAAAGAGCACAGAAAGGTGAAGAAATGGGCCCCAAACCATTAAGCTTTGAAAGTGACAGAACAAGGATTTGAAGTCAGCACCCTGGTTCCAGATCTCTGTTGGGAGGCCTTCATTTACACTGTCCTGTTAATCCTGAGGGTTTTGTCGTGGAAATTTGTGCTGTGGCCTCTACAGCCTTTCTTCCATGCCAGTTAGAGAAGACCTTCCGACCTCACCTCTCGTCAGGAAAAAATGGCCACTGAGCAGATCTTTCTGGAACTTCCAGGGGAGACACTTTCAGCTAGCTGAAGAGGAGGGGGCTGCCCAGTCCATCTGATTTGGTGCTGAGGTGGGAATGGGGTGGAAACGCCATGGGTTACAGAGCCCTTGGGCCCCGGCTGAAGACAAGGTTACCGTGGGGAGCAGGAGAGGACTCGGCGGCAGCCAGCTGTGGGGTCAAATGCTGGTCCTCCCACTTTAGCAGAGTGACTTTGAACAAGTGATTCCACATTTCGGCCTGCGAGCTTTCTATTAAATGGGGATGTTAACATGTAGCTCCTGGTATTGTTTTGATAAAATGAAATAAAGTTTGCAAAATGCAAAGCCCAACATGAGTATATAGTAAGCTTTATTTTATTTTTGGTAATAATGACCTGTCTTTATCATTTACTGCATTTGACAGAAATTACCCTTTTAAATTTTTACCTGTGACACTTCTACTTAGTTTAACCTCCATATTTTGTCAAAATACTGTCTTCATTCTTTGATCATGTCACACGTAGCACACACCCACTCCTGTGCACCCACAGCCAGAGCCATACTTCCTCAGTGGGACCCAGGAATAAGAGGTCTGTTCAAAGTCTCAGCAGCAGGGAATACACTAACTTTTTTTTTTTTTTTTAAGATTTTATTTGCCAGAGAGCACGTAAGCAGGGGATGCGGCAGGCAGAGGGAGAGGGAAAAGCAGCCTCCCCGCTGAACTAAGAGCCCAATTCGGGACTCGATCCCAGCACCCTGGGATCATGATGTGGGCTGAAGGCAGTGGCTTAACCAACTGAGCCACCCAGTCAGCAGTATCTCCTTAAAGACAAAAGTCTTGAAAGGATTAGTGCTCAGTGTTCTCAGCACAACAACGCATTTTAGTTCACAAGGTATTTTGGCAACGCTTCATCTGGGCAAGAATAGAGGCTTTTGAAAAATGAAGCTTTAAGGGATGCCTGGGTGGCTCAGTCAGTTAAGCGTCTGCCTTCCACGTGGGTCATGATCCCAGGGTCCAGGGATTGAGTCCCACATCAGGCTCCCTGCTCACTGGGAAGTCTGCTTCTCCCTCTGCCTACTGCTCCCCCTGCTTGTGCTCTGTCTGTCTCTCTCTCTCTCTGGCAAATAAATAAATAAATAAAATCTTTTTTAAAAAAAGAATAAGGCTTTAAGAAAGCTTTCTATTTTAGGGCTCAATTTTAATATAATGTAAGTTTAAAGTCTTTACATTTTAAACAAATAAAACCTCAAAATTACTGATTGGTTCAAAATGGTTTTTATGGAAAAGGTAACAAAATCTGTAACAAAAACATGGCACCAAGGGCAAAGGCTCCACCACTTTTGAGTAAAGTGTACAAAGGTTCCGAGGGTGACGGGCCAGGAAAGGGGCCCATTCAGTTACAGCAGCAGGCAATTTCTCTTCCTCTTTTTTTTTTTTTTAAGATTTTATTTATTTATTTGACAGAGAGAGAGAGATCACAAGTAGGCAGAGAGGCAGCAGAGAGCGAGGGGGAAGCAGGCTCCCTGCTGGGCAGAGCCGGATATGGGGCTCGATCCCAGGATTCTGAGCTCACGACCTGAGCTGAAGGCAGAGGCTTAACCCACTGAGCCACCCAGGTGCCCCTCTTCCTCTTCTTGACAGAAGTCAATAGAGAAGCGCTCGCATAGCTTCATCAAACACTGTCCGAGGCCTCACTGCAGGAGAGCCGAGCACCCCCAGTGGTTTAGAGCACCGATCTCCTTAGCTGTGGTCAAACACCACGGTAGGTGATGGGAGTCGGCTTCTTCCCCTGCAGATTCTCAATCGTGTCTTTGTCGCCCCTAAATCAAGTTTAGTCCCCACCAAGATGATGTGGGTGTTGGGACAGTGACGTCATACTTAAGGGTACCACTCTGCTGAACATTTTCAAATGATGCACGATTCCCTAAGAGAAAAGCAAATTAAGAACACATCTGTTTGCAGATAGGATAAGGGACTTCATCTGTCCTAATTTTGTCCAGCTGTATCCCATAAGCCCAGATTCACTGGTTTTCCATCTACCAGAATATTGGCAGAGTCGTTGTCAAACACAGTGGGAATATATCCCCCAGGAAATGCATTGGTGTGTAGCTGATCGGTAGGGAAGTTTCACATACAGCTCCATCTCCCACCACCACACACCTGATGATCTTCATCGGGGTCACTCATCGGGCTACAGCAGGCGAGGGGGACAGGAGACAGGGTGCTGGGGCTGCTATCCACACCGCCTTGCCCTCTGCTGATGGGAAGCTGGAGCCCGGTATATATGGTAAGTTTGTTTTTGTTTTTGTTTTTTTTATAAATATTCTGTTTATTTATTAGAGAGAGTATGAGTGGGGGGACCAGCAGAGGTGGAGGGAGAAGGACAACCAGACTCTCTGCTGAGTGGAGAGCTCAACATGGGGCCAATCCCACGATCCCACAGTGCTGAGATCATGACCCCAGCCAAAATCAAGAGTTGGACACCCAACCAAGGCACCCAGATGCCCCATTATAGTAAGCTTTAAAAGAAGATTGGTTTTCTGGGACACCTGGGTGCCTCAGTCAGTTAAGTGCCTTTAGCTCAGGTCCTGGGATTGAGTCCTACCATCAGGCTCCTTGCCCAGCTGGGAGCCTGCTTCTCCTCTGTCCCTCTCTCTACTGTGCTCTCTCTTTCTCTTTCTGACAAATAAATAAAATCTTTTTTAAAGAAAGAAAGAAAATTGGTTCCTACATTCTTTGCTTTTAAGTGGGTCAGCTACCAGGGTGTTCAAGGTCTTGGAATTGTTGCCCCAATACCAGCAATTCCTTGAGACTAGAACCTTCCCAGGGAATTCACTGCTGCCTAATACAGGTCTGTGTTAATAGCTTCTCAAAGTCCCAATTAGGGCAGTTCCTTAGCTGTCTTGGTTGCTATCAGTTGACAACTGGAAAATTCCTTGGCAGCCCCCTGGAGCAGAGGACCCATGTGATCCTAGGGTAGATAGCAGGCCGGAGAAAAGGACATTAAAGTGTGAGATCGTCATTTACACTTAACACACTGGTAATTTTAAAATACTAGAATTTTAAAATATTAAAACCACCAGTGTTAGGGTGGTTGTTGTAAAGTTAGTACAAGCATGTGCTCTTGGTGACATTTGTAGTAGACAGCTCCCAAGATGGCCCCCAGGGCCCCCCCACTCCTGGTGCTCTTGACCTCTGTCAGCCTCTCCCCTTGCTCCCCTGGTTCAAAACAAGAGAATACAGCAACATTAAGGTGCTGTCACTTCCATGATTAAGTTACAAAATGTTGTGACTTCTGTCTTGCTAGCAGACGCTATTGTTTTCTCAGATGCATGCTTTGATAAAGCAAGTTGCCATGTTGGAGAGGCCCACATAGCAAGGAACTAAGGGCAGCCTCCGACCAATAGCTGGTTAAGACATGAGGCCCTCAGTCCAACAGCCCACGGGGACCCGAATCCTGACAACAACCGAGTGAGCTTGGAAGATAATCCATCCCCAGCCAAGCATTCAGAAGAGACCATAACCTCAGAGACTGCAACTTGTCTGTAGCCTGTGACAGACCATGAAGCAAAACACACAGCTTATGCTTGGATCCATGACCCACACGGAAGCAGTGAGACAATAAATGTGGGTTGTATTAACCACTTAGTTTTACAGTAATTTTTTGTGCAGCGATAGATAACTAATGTACAGGATTAACGGACATAATGTCTCCAGAAAGCCATTTGGCAAAACTTGATACAGTCACAAAACTTGATCTCCTGATCCAGTAACTTGAAACCTAAAAACTTATCCTAGAGCTATAACCTAACAGAAACCAAAGATGTACATAACAACATTCACTGTGGTAATTTAAAAAAAAAACATCAAAATAAGGGAAATGTTGAACAGCAAGGACCTAGGAAATTGTGGTACACCCATCTGTTGAATATTCTTTGGTCACTAAAAAGTGTAATTATGAAGATTCGCAGAGAAATGTAGACATATTAGTTATGAATATCAAACACTGAGAAAATGTGAAGTACTACTTGCATGGTGATAGCAAGAATGTAACCATGGTAAGACCTGGAAGGAAATTCACAAACTTGAAAGTAAATCTGGGGGTGCCTGGGTGGCTCAGTTGGTTGGGCGTCTGCCTTCAGTTCAGGTGACGATCCCAGGATCCCGGAATCGAGCCGTGCATCAGGCTCCCTGCTCGGGAGAAGTCTGCTTCTCCCTCTCCCTGCGTTCCTCCCCTCTGCTTGTTCTCTCTCTCTCTCTCTCTCTCTCTCCCTCCCTCAATTAAATACAATATTTAAAAAATAAAATAAATAAGAAAGTAAACCTGTTCAGATGGAATTTTGAATGACTCTGCATTCAGTATAGGTAAGGACTGCCTGCTGTATGTATTTACTCAATGCATGAAGGCTTACTCAGAGGGGCCCATGGACCCGCTCCTTCTCCCTGTGTCAAGGTGACAGATCCTGGCATCACAGCTTTTGGCTCTGTGTCCTTGGGGTGTGGCCAACCTTCTGTCTGTCAGTTGCCACGGCCGTCATGAAAATGTGCCACTCAGATCTGCAGGGAGCAGACTTGACTGACGGCCACAGCTGTTGTTTCTCTAGATCCACAGCCATGTTCTCACTGAGGCCATGCCTCGTGGGCTGCTTTTAGCCCGTGGCGGGACTAGTGGCACTACTATGGCAGGCCCAGTCCAGTGATTTGGGGGACTCCTCCGATGGGTGACCGTGGCTCCAGGACTCCCCCAGGGCCTGGGCAGGTCTTTCTTAGAGCTGCTCTGAAGTCTGAGACCCAGTCCTCCTCCATTCCCTGCTCCTTTCCAGGCGTTAGACCTGCAAAATAGCTCAAAGCCTCTCCTCAGCTTCTATGCCCACCCCCCTAGGCCCTTCACAGGCATTTCCCCCCAGTTCTGCCTCTTTGTCTATTCCCCAGAGGACCTGAACTAGCAAGGTTAGTCACTCGGTCAGGTGAACTGTGAGGATCTGGGGAGCCCACAGTCCTGCAGAAGAGACCGTCTGACAAGTAAACGGTGGGACCGAGGCAGTGAAGGTGCAAGGACCCGCCTGCTGACCCCTCGGCTTTTCAGACGTGTGGCGCAATTTTATTTAATCACACCAAGTTAGTGTGTAGGAAATGTAAATGCAACAGTATGGTAAAAATAGCAGAGAATGGAAAAATCTAAAAAGGCAGTATGCATAAAGCATGTGAACCAACGTTCATTAATGCCTCGTCTTCCGTTCCGACTGACACTCGATGCTTGCAGATTTCAAAACAAACTTTGAAATCATATGACTGTTCTGAAGAGATCCGCACATTCAGTCAGTTTGCAGTTGGCTTGTCCTCCACTTAC